GATCTAAATTTAATATTTGTATTATTAATTATATTTATATTATTTTTTCACATTTAAAATTTATTCAATTAGTAGATCATTAAGAAGCAGTCAAGTCGAAGCACCTATCCTATCCTTCACATATCATGTCTCAACTTTGGCCCGAGTACATAGCATGCCCAATTCTCATCTAGTCTCTTACATATTCAATCTCGACTATAACTCAAGAACACCGCAAGCCTAACTCGCATTCTGTTCTTGCGTTTTTTTTACTCTCAAACTATCACAAGATGTTCAGCTTTACTCAAATCTAGGGCATCTCAATAATCCACACGTCATTCGTCTCTGTCGTTGGCCCATTCATCTCTATTCAACTCCCCTTGACTCTAAAATCATCAAAAGTCGAACCATACATCTCTATTTGTCTGCTTCAACTCGCAATTTCTATTTCTACAAAAAGAATGGACTTGACAAGGCTTTGAATAAGGTATTGGTTCTCCCCTTTGGCTTCAAATTTACTATTTATAAATTGCATTTTGGTGTTCAAAAAATTCTAGTGTATATGGTTTGGGATTTAATCTGTAATTTGATGTATTTTCTAATGTATGGGGATGTTGAAGAGGTTTCAAATTATTTAGTTTAATGGCTTTTGTATTTTGGTATTTCCAATTTCTATTAATATTACATACTCAAAAGAATCTCTAATTTAATCCAAACTACAAAGAAATATCCTGCATTAAAAAAGGCAATCTTTGCAAAAGGTGATAACAATTGAGTGATGTGTATTTTATGGCAAAATGATAAAGATAAGAATTACTCATCACAAACAATAATTTGTTGTGGCCTTTATAAATGCTAAGGCTTGTACTAATTCCCTTAATATGCTCAAGTTGAAATTCATGATTTTTTAAAGAAGAAGAAAGAGATAAAAGGCCAATTTAATAAATAATCAACTATTATTTGAAGAAGAAGAAAGTTAGAAGACAAAATTAATAAAATACCACATGTTCATATTAAAGAAAGTGATGATTTTGATACGAGGATGATGATGTTTTACAACAAAATCAAATGCATCTAGCCAAAGTTCAATGGCCTCTATACTTAAAAAATTAGGGGCTAAATGATTGTTTGATATCTTTTTACTCAAGATCCAATTAATGTGGTAAAGAAAAGAATACATAAAATGTAGAATGAAATGGATGTTGCTAGGAAGGAGATGAGGGGAGTAACAATCCAAGTAGACGATGCTGACATCCCCTTCAATGTTATTAACTATGACAACTTCCTCGTCACAGTAAAGACATTTGGACAATTTGGTCCTAAGATGAAACCAACTACTATCATGCAGTGAGATTTCCTTATCTGAAGAAAGAGGTGAAAAACACATAGCAACTATTCCAACAACATAAAGAAGATTATTTTAGATATGTTTGCTCTCTTATGGTTGATGGTTGGACATCCCATACAACAACAACAACAACATCAAGCCTTTATCCCACTACGTGGGGTCGGCTACATGAATCTTTTTTCTCCATTATGTCCTGTTAAGAGTCAAATTCTCATTTAAATCTAATAAAGAAAAGTCATTTCTAATATTTTCAAACCAAGTCTCTTTAGATCTACCTCTACCTTTCTTAACATAGATCAAACCTAATACATCTACTCTCCTAACAGGGTCATCGAAAGATCGATGTTTTATATGACCTAATCATCTAAGGCGACTCTCTCTAATCTTATTTGTCACTGGAACTATTCCAACCTTTTACCGGATATGCTCGTTTCGTATCATGTTTCTAATAGTAAGTCCACTCATCCACCTGAGCATCCTCATCTCAACAACACTTAATATGGTTAGACATCTATAATTAAAAAAAAAAAAGATTTTTTTTGAATTGTCCAAAAAAATTACATTCATATAATCAGTTAATGCAAGTTCTTATTTGAATAATACAACGAAGATGTTTGAATTGTCAAATTATTGAAAAGTCTACTGAGTAGATTGGACCGCCTTGTGCCATTTAAGTGGTCACTAATAATGCTTCTGAGAATGTTCTTCCAGGTTAGTGACTCAAAACAAACTTCTATTTCATTTAAGTTACATTTTTTTAGAGAAGGTAAGTAATTTATTGTTAAATGATTTTTAATATTATTGTAGGGGAACTATCGATGGATAAATATATACATTTATATTAGACAATTAAACTCATTAAAATGTTTATTATTTGGATTTAATAATAGAAGATATCCTCAAGGTTTAAAATTATGCAATATGGTAATATGTTCAAGGATGACATATTAACTTTCTATTTAAACTATAGAGTAAGAATTTGGTATACATATGAAACAAAAAAATTGTACAAGACATAAAATGACAAGTGATAAATAACATAAAATAGAAGTGAAATCCAAATATTATAAGAGCAAAATAGCATAAAAATATCATAAAACATAAAGTTCAAATCCAAATTCCTTCATTTTTAGTTACCTACTCATCCACATTTTAATTCCTAAGGAAAGCTAAAATAGTTGACAGCAACTCAGAAATCACATCCACTATCATCACTGAAGGGGTTTTTATTTGAGTCATCATCATATTAAATTGGCCGTTCTCATGCCTCATCCTGTGAAGTCCAGTGCCTCCCAAACTACTTATTTATTTCAGTCATCATCCTCTTTCATAAATATTTGTCATCAACATAAGATGAGAGCAGTACTTCAAAATTTTTAGAGGTGGTGGTGGTGTGCTTCTTTCAATTGATCCCCAACGGTGGTGTTGGTGGCTGCAGCGGAGGCGATGGGTTGGAGGTCAATGCAGTCAAGCGGAAGCTATTGCGGCTCGAGAGTGCATGAAGGCGTTATTTGTTCGGAGCTTTAGTTTAAATTTTTGTAAGTTTTAAAAATATATAATTATGGTGAGGCGTTTGTTCACGCAAGCGCAACAAGCCACGCTTAGCCAAACTGAGGTGCATGCCTCGTAAAAAAAAGCTCAAGGAGTTTTTCATCAAAATTGCGTTGAGGCGAGATTCAAGGTGAGGCTCATATTGCGCAATTCTAAACAATGGATATCCTTGACATTCAAAGACTAAGGCGATGCTTTGAGAAGGCAGTGACAATAAATAATTTCATTCATTCATGACCATAATTGCTTGACTAAATGATGAGATGTATAACTAGATAAGTCAGACAAAAATAATGTTGATACTACCTTCTAGACATTATAATGTTTTTATTTGCAACTAATGAATTTTGAATAAAATGTTTTTACATAATGATTTCATGTTGGATCCTTATTCAAAGGAAGTTAAGGCAAAGCAAGCACAACAAACTATTTGGAATCAATCTATTTGGAATATTGTGGTACATGCACTCAAAGTATGCAACCCTTTGATGAAGGTCCTTAGATTGGTTGATGAAGAAAAAAAATCCTCTAATGGTTGTATGAAGTAATGTATTTGGCAAAAAAAAAGCAAGTGATATTTTAACAATAATGCTAAGTACGAGCAAATTTATGAAATTATTAATAAAGTTCAGAAGTGCAACTCCAACGACTTTTGCATGCATCTACACATCTCTTAAATCCCAAATACTTTTTGGGTAACCTTGATGTTGAAAAGATAAAGAAACATTCAATGGATTATTATCATAGAATATTGTTATACAAGCTATTGGTGTTTATGCATTGAAAAATTAGGTAATAATATTAATAAAGAAGATACAATTTGCAATTAGTTGAGTGGATATATTAAGGGTGAAGGACTTTTTTATATTCCTCTAACCCTAAGACAAAGGACCACTCAAGCATCCAAAAAGTATAATTTTAGATAAAAATTATGGTTAGTATTAAATAATATTTTGACACTTAAATAATAAAGGTTAAATCATTCTAGCTAATGGGATGTTAGCATGTGCTCAAGGTGCTCTACATTTAAAAAGTTTTGGGATTAAGGTGTTAAGCCTAACTCATAGTTCATTTGGACGTAAACACAATTGAAATATATTTAGCATGAAAGAAAAAAAATAAAATTGTGTATTGATTTTTATCATGAAACTTTATAATTTAGTAATTTTAATAATTTTTAACTAACTTTATAGCAAAAGAAGCAGGATAGATCATAGTAGTCTCAAAGAATTAATTTATGTAAAATAAAATAGGGCCTTAATTCATAGATACAAACATCGTAAAATTCGTGACCATATCTCTTTAAAAGATATAAATGACATTAATGAGTCAGATCAAGATAATGACCTGGTTATGGATGATAAAGATTTAACATAGAATATTGTTACAAAAGCCATTGGTGTTTATGGAAAAAGTTAATAATATGTGAGAGCTATCAACAAACAAAAGAAAGGGAATCTTTATCTAAGCTTAACATTATTGTAATTTAACATGAAGATGATGAGTAAAATGAAGAAGATTATGATTTTGGATAAGATGATATTGATGAAGAAAATAAAGCTTTTGACTTATGATGATGATGATAATTCTAAAGAAGACTAATTTAATCTCATACAAAAGAAATATTAAACTAACAAAAACAATTGTAATATTTTGAATTTTATAAGGTTGAAGTGTTGAGCACTTAAACTTAAGCATCACTTTTATTGTTTTTATTATCATAATAGTTTATTTCTAAATTTAGTAATTTTTAATGTTTATCTACATTTTTATTCACAATTTTTTAATATTTTAAGCCATGTTTAAAATAGTGCATAGAAAACTGCGCGCAATGCACTATGGTTCCATGGGGACCTTTGAGTTATGGCGTATCATTCACCATTGAAAATTATGCCTCTAACTTATAGGAAACCAAATAGATACTTGAAGCACATATGAAACATGTTATTTTGATCATTTGCATTTTGCACTTTGATGATGGGTGTGCTCGTTGTGCGCTATAATTTATAACACACACTATTTTGTATTATTGACATGTATGATAAAATAGATGCAAAACATAGAATGCTGATGTTAGAACAAGCTATTACTAACAAATACAAAAAACATCAATTGCACATACCGTTTGCTTGCTTTTCAACTGGAAGATCCTGTTCAGACTCAGAATCTGAACAAAAAAATAAATTAGTTAATGACAATCCCAAATAGATAAACTCCACGGGCAATATAACATTTTAAAATTAAAATATCTTACCAGAAAAATCATCTTCGGATGTGATGCAAATGATAATAGAGTCAAAGGAAAATATTAGATAAAAATTTAATGTTTCATGAAAAACCTGAGGCAATCCTTGTTAATTAATGTTAAAACAATAATGGACGAAAAGGATATTCATAGCCCTGATAAATGCTCCTATAACCAACAAAGAATACACTGGTATTCTTGGAACCATGTGATAACTCGAATTCCTTCTCAAAGACAAGGTCATACTGAATTTGAGCACACTTCTCTGTAGAAAGGGTTCCAAGAACTAGTTTTTGGTTGTTGACATTGACAAAAATTGGGACATTTTCACTCCCCTTTTCCTTCTTACTTTCCCCAAGAGAAGCCTGCATGATAACAGCAAAGAGATACTAAAACAACCGCTTAAAACTCCCATAAGTGAAGCAAAAGTCACATCAAGAGAAACCTGTGAAAGATGCAAAACTCTGTCAACCCCTGGCTCACATTTAACAGCTTGTCCAGGTTTAACTTCAATACCTGAAACCAAAACAATAAATCTGGACTAAGAAATAATCATGTCCACTAATTATGCCATAAGGCCTCAACCAATAAATAATTCAACAAGTTTCAGAAAGCAATCAGCACACTTAAGAATTCTTCCGTAATGTAACATACTTCAAAAAATCCCATCAAAATCATATCAATCTCGCAACTATCAGATAAAACCCAAATAATCTTACGAGCAACTATGAATGAAGGATAAAGCCAAAAGAATTACAGCTAAAGCTTGAAAAAATAGAACAACGAGAAAATCATTAAAAGAACAACAATGATCTTTTTTAATCAACAAATGCGCTGTACTTATTCTCAGTAATTAAAACACAAAAACGTCGCTCATAAAACTTGCTTTGTGGCGAAACAACTGGCAGACAGGTGCAGAAATAAGGAAAACCTAGCCCGCCCAGATTAACAAAAGGAAATGGACGCAATGAAGAGAATGAACACCGCAGAATTACCCCAGAACTCCATTAGAGCAGAGATTATTCGAGAGATGAATGAATGGATGACAGAAATTGCAATTGAGACGAGAAAGCAGCAGTGGCGACGGCAACTACGAGCGCGAAGCCGATAAAGGTGAAAGAGGTTTAGGGTTTCGGAGGTTTGAGGGCCTTTTAAAGGAGAAGCAGCGTAAGACAACTATCACAGTATTATCACTGGCGATCGGCAAGATCCACCGTCCGTTTACCGTCTAATATTGGTCACCGCTCGGAAATCTGACTCTAATCCTATAGGAAAATTTTGAGTTTGGGTTCAGGTTGACCCGAAAATTTGATTTTGACCCGGCATCCAGCCAGGCTTAACTACGAAGAAGCGCACGGAAGGGAGAAAGTTTCCTTCATATCGAGCGAACTCCCATCATTGCTTCCGACTATTTTTGTAACTTCCAATTCTAATTGGATGGGAACGTTGTCGAAGGAGAGAATTATGTGGGTCAAGTTCGGGTTGAGCAGAACCCGAAGCGGGTCATGTTTGGGTCTGGAAAATCAACCCGTTTAAAAAAAATGGATCGAGTTTGGGTTGACTTGAATAGTGCTGAGTTAGTTCCAGATTGGATCCGAATCCAACCCATGACCCGATTTTGATAACCCTACTTAACATCATCATTTTTTTTAAAGAAAATTTTTATTAAAAAAAAATAATTTTATAAAATAATAAAAAATCATCTCAAAAGACTTCCTTTAGTGGTGAGATTGATAATTAATTAATTAATTAATTCGAATTTAGGAATTTGAA